TCTCTCTCTCTCTCCTCTCTCTTCCCCCCCACCCACCCCCCCACCCCCCCCCCCCCCTCTCACACACACCGCAAAACAGAAAAAGAAAAAAAAGAAAGGAATTTGTGATATATTTTCACTGTAAACAACTTCAGATCGCCGGAAGAGAATATATTTTAGGAAGGCAAACGATGATAAGACTGCACCAACTGAAGCTGGTATGGAAAATTTTGAGTCATCATCTGATTCCATCAACAAGCTCTCTAAAAGTGCTTCATCATCTAGCCCTAGCAAGTGTTCTTCTCCCCATAAAGAAGACAATAGTCCCACTAGCTCAGAGTTTCACAAGATCAATTCGGGTCCTTCAACTCTCAAAGGGATTCTTAAGTCTTCTTCACCCTCTTCAGTGGCTTCCTATGCTTGCTCACTCTGTGATTCTGTTGGCCTAGAAGCCAAGAAAGCCATTGCTTTTTCGCAAAGGCAAATGCATGATATTGAGTCTCTGACCATGAAGCTTGTGAAGGAATTGAAATCCATGAGAAATATTGTGGAGAGTTTGCTTCCTGAAGAATGGCCTGATTTATCTTCAAAGCATATCTACAATGGGGTACGATCTAATTTTCCTGGGTATTTTCAGTTCTCTCTCTCTCTCTCTCTCTCTCTCTCTCTCTCTCTCTCTCTCTTTCTCTCTTCATAACATGCACATCGACGCCGTTGCCATCATTATTCTTACATTAAGAGGTTGAAAGTATTTAGCATGATTTAGGGGTGGTTGCTCTGGCATTTTGTGGAATGAAACGGAAGGTTCAAAGGGTAGAATATCAAATATCGCTCTCAAATAAGATCTGAACTGATTAATAACATTGTGCTCTAAAAATAATCCAAATTTGCGACTGGAATTTATACAACAACTTATGGAAACTGGTGCTTAAAGACTATGCAGTAGTCTCCATGTTGCTTCGTTCTATCTTTGGCATCTTACCAAGGTTTTCATGGAAACATTGTATTTGTCCTTTTTCTTCACAGATGAAAAATGCTACCTTCAATGCAAGTGAGACAGAGGAAACTGCAAGAAAATGGCTTTCTATGATGTCCAAGGATTGCAATCGCTTCTGTAAAATCATGGTTTGTTTTCCCAATTTAATGGATCCCAAGGCTTTGTCTGTTGTTAAATGCTAAATTATATGCAATACCCCATAGATGTATGTTACTGTAGAGATTGTATAAAGTGAAAATTTTACCTTTTGCACACAGAACTCACAAACACACCAAGCTGCCAGATGTGTAATTGGACGTCTGGGTGGGGTGTTATTTCTCGCCATAGAGTAAGAAAAGTTTTCTCAAACTTTGAGCGCAATCAAAGATACACTCCCAACTGCCTGATTTCATATCTCATGGCTAGGGGTGATTGACCTTTTTGTATCAATGATTGACAGTCGTATTGTACACATTTGTATTGCTTTTATGGTACTCCAAAGCAGTGTTTGAAATCTCAGCTGAGTCGAATTGGACTTGGCGGAGTTACTTGGCCTTGGAACCTGCCTAGGTGAGTTTCATTTATAGAACTGTGTATTTAGAAAACCCATAAACGATTCTATATTTTGCCACTAAATCAGTAATAAATTATGTATAAATAGGTTTCTATGTATTGGTTATTTTTTAATATGATTTATGAATTTCTCTTGTTCCCTTGGTTTTGGATTTTTCTGGATTGTTCCAGGCTATAAATCAAATTTGTCCAAATTTCATCTTGTATATACTTTTTTCCATCATTTTAAAATATTTAATGCTATTTATGAATTCTTTTGCCTTTTACTTTCTTTTTTTGACAAAATTTTTGTGTTTTACTTCATAATTTTTTAGTTTTTTTTAGGCTCATACATGACTCGGGAGAGTCTGAGTCACTCGGTTCCGGCAGATGCTGAGTTCTGAGCCTGAGATGAGTTTTTAGTCATTGTTCCAAAGTGGCAAAACTGTCCATTGTCCACAGTGGATGGTGGTGATTAGCTCTTTGAAACATTCATCAATGTTCCACCGATTTCAACCATTTGTTGTCAGAGATAGATGGGGGATGGCCCTTTGTTTTACCAGATACCTTATTGGTATATGTTGTATTCTCTCTGGAGTCTGAACCATGTGGGAATTGCTCACTTTTTGTGTTCTTTGATTGGCTCTTGGGTTGTTCAGAGGTCTAGAGAGAGAAAGGGTGCACCAATCAATGGGTATCATAAGGTGCAGAAGAGGATCACATTTGCTGATGAAGCTGGGGGAAAGCTGTGCCATGTGAGAGTCTTTGAGGATTATCCATTTGATGATTTATGAGGATTATTATCCTGATTCTTTGACCGAGTATTGGATTGCAGCTGCTAAAACTTCTTGCCCCCAATGTATACTTAATTTTTCTCTCACTACTTTTTCCTTCTCTCTGTAATTTGTTGTGCTAAACTGCTAATCTGATGTAAAGGTACTGATTATTGGTGGAATTCAGCACATTGTAAGCCTGATGGACAGTTAAAGGGTGCTCTCTCTCTCTCTCTCTCTCTCTCTCTCTCTTGAGTGAGTGAGGTTGGGAACTTATTTATGTGCAATGTGTGCGCTCTTGCATGATCAAGGACTCTGGTCCATGTAACAGATACAATGTCATGCTTTGAAGATGTCATTGTGAGAAATTCTAATAATTATATAGGTACGTTGCAAGATGATAAATCTTTACATTTCTGAAATCAAGCTGAAAGATGTATATTGCATGATTTTCACTGCATAAAAGCAACAACGTGAAATGGCCAAATTTAGGTGTTAAATATTTTATGCTCCCGCAGGAGCATTTCTTCCATTCATTACCTTGGGTAAATTGCATTTGGGAAGTACTTTTAGGTCCCAAAATTTGGGGATGTAGAGCAACATTAAGAAAAAGAAAAGTAATTCTATCAAACTCACCTTAGTGATCAGCTGTTTAATGTTTTATTTTTTCTTAGGAAAATTACATATATCCATCCACCTTGAATTTTCTAGACAATTGAATACCATAAGCCTTATTACTCTGTCCCTTTGCACTGGCCGTCTGGGTGAATTTTTTAGGTTATTTAAATATAAATGCTCCTCTCAATCAAATACAAAAAAATCGAGTTTATTTTGGTTTTGAGCAAACTTCTGTTGCGGTCGGTGTCGCCCTTTAAGAGTCAAGCCGGCTTGAAAACATCGTGCTTGACTAAGAGAAGTATTTTCATCCAAAATAACCTATAAATTTCACCTGGTGGTGACATAATTTTCCCTTTTTCCTTTGTTTTAATTCCAAAAAGCCAGTCGATGCGTTAGTAGTTGATGTTTTGTTGGTCTAGTCTGATAAAGGGTGATAAATTAAACAATTGATAGGTGATTTGATAAAGGAAAAACTTTATATAGAGCCGAGGCTCTAAATATTCAAAATAGAGCCCACTTCGAAAATTTCACTATAAGAGGTTTGATGCTCAAATATCTTCAAATTGATTATATCGATATCAAAGAATGGACATGAGAAAAAAATGAATTTCACATCTTGTAACACATTTTTAGACGGTCAATTTTCAAGATTTTCAAGTTTTTATAGATCTGCTCGATCTATACTATTTTTTGAAGATGAAAGTATATTTTAAGGTTATCACAAAGATTTCCAATATTGAAATCACATTTCTCAACACCATTTGAAGGTGTGTTTTACTTTGAATGTTTAGAGCCTCGGCTCCATACAAACTGCACCCCTTTGATAAAAGGTATTGTATAGAATGAGACCATTTACCTTTTATACAAGATGCTCACAATTCCTTACAACCAAAATGAAAACTTCAATGCATTTTATATTTCCTAAAGAAAAAAAGCGTCTTAAGATTGTACAAACGATAGTTTAATTTTTAGAAAGTCAAATCTAAGTGTTCAAGAACCCAAAATCTTTTATTTCCTTTTTGAAAATAATCATCTTGAGGTTTAGTGGATCCCCAAGTTTTCACACACAATAATGCCTCCTAACTGATTATTTCATCCGAAGGGACAAGTACACAATATGCTCGTGCAGGACATGCTACACAAGCTTATTTAAATTGAAAAAGTTACAATAGGATCGTTAATTTGAATACAACAAGATGCAATCACTTTGGCCATCGGACATGAACTTGGGTAACATGCGTACCATTTGTGGCACTCTAAGAGATTTATTGAATATTATACAAACAAAAATGATGTATCTTAATTACATGCTTGATCTCATTGGATCGTAGTGTACATGTACTCTCTCCGGCAAAAGAGATACTTTTGGGATTTTTTTTTTTTCTTTTTTGTGATCCAACTAAGAATTACTAGGTGAATGTTTTCAAATACCAAAGTAATTGAAATTTGAGTACTTCAAATATCTATTCTTCCAAAAATTGGGCGTTGTGTGTTCAACCTTGGGACATTTTTTTTTTTTTCAAGCATATCAAATATGCTATTTGAATTGAGAAGCTAACCTAATCTCTTTAATTTATCTTCCTTTTTTTTTTGTTATGTATTTTGGCTAGATCACCCGATTTGGCCTCTAAATCGATCGAGCCTGATTCACTCAAATGATCCATAAGACCTTGTATTAAAATAACAATTAAAACACAAGAGACAGAATTAAGAAATAAATGACATCTGAAATACGTCTATGATTCTTAAAACAAAAATCTCATTTATAAATGAGAAAGAAATTTATCCCCAATAAATAGGTAGATTTGACCAAAAAGCACTACATTATTAAATAAATAACAAATGTTTCATGCGGGTTGGATCGCATTTGTACATTTTGTGATTCAGAGGTATAAAGCATCTTTCTTAAAGATGGATGGAAATAGGTACTCTATCTAAACAATTGTAACTACTATCTAAAACAATTGTAACTAACGATTCAAATGTCTTCTTAATATAATTATTATTTATCATTTTTAAAATTGATTTATTTTTAATATTCATGATCCCATGTTAAAATTATATATTCTTTAAAAATTAAGATACAATTATATTTAAAAAATATATTTATTGCCAAACCCGCTTTTTATACATGTGGGGGCTTGGCCACATACTAACCATATCCTTAAGTGAATAATTATCACGAATAAAAGAGGCTTGTATCTATTAAAAGTGCATGCTTTTATTAAACAATAAAGGTATTATTATTCACTAATTTAGAGAGATTAATAGAGAATGCAGTTATTGTTACTTCTCTTATAAAAAAAAAGTCAAATTGGGTACCAAAGACATATGTATCTCATGAATCGGGCCTGGGTTGGAGTAGTTAGCTGTTGACGTTAGCAATCTTATATCTAAAGTTTAATTCTTGTCGCTAGACAATGAAAAAAAAGGAGTATAAGTTATTGAATTTTTAGAAATAGATGCATTTTCTATAAAGCTTGAGCTTTATGAAAACAAAGTAAAACTTCACTTGAAATCCTCATCTAGCTTTATGAAAACAAAGTAAAACTTCACTTGAAATCCTCATCTAAAAAGTACTTTGAGCATCGGAAACCTCCATGATAGGTCAAAAATCGATTTTCAATGCCGACTATGACATTCAAAGCTCAAAAATGGTACAAATCTTGTGGATTTGTGAACACTAATTTTTAAGGCAAAAAGGATGATTTAGATTATGAGCTATATAATATACACTATTTTTTAGGCTTAAAATTCAAAACTTCTTTCACGTCCATATTGGTTAAGGTTGAGATGATTGATTTTAAGATTTTCTAATGCTAGAACTGTAATCGGGGCTTTATTTTGTTTTAAACTAAGAATGCAACCCTATCAAAATATTTTTTGTTACAATCACTAACCATCGGCATTACTTTGGGCTTATTCCCAACTAGGCCTTTATGAAAATATGAATTATGTGTGTAGAGATATGTGAAAGTTCTTAAAAATAAAATATTATTTGTAATCATTATTTAATTACATGGTTAGGAAACAACCATCGTAGCAACCCTCCAAATACAATATCTTTAAAAATCCCATTTTATAGGGTGCAATCCCCTTTAACAAATGTGTTACAATCATTTTTGGCCATTAGATGTGAAATTTAGTAACTGGTAAGTGGTCTTATAGGGTGCAATCCCCTTTAACAAATAAATAAATTCACGCACGAACCGAAGTAAAAGGTTCGTTATAACGGATTGGCCAAAAAATTTGGTTGATATTACCAAGAATGATGGAACGCCCATCAGTTTTGCCCTCCGTTCAATATTTATAACATTGAACCGAACCCCTTCCTGTTAACTCCCCTGTGGTCCCATGAAGTCTCATATGAAATTGTGTCAATTTTTTTTTTTTGTTTTAAGCCCAGTTCGATGTTTTAAACATCAAACCGATATTTAGGTTTTCCCCTATCTTTCGTGCTGTCAGTAAATTTCTCTCTTTTAAGACTTTTGTTACTCTCTCCCTCGTTTTGTCTTTGTAAACCCACCTTCTCTTTCCCTGTGGCCACAAGATCGTCTCTCTCTCCACATATATACTTAAATCTTAAGGCCCTAAACCTTCAATCCTTAAACCCTAGTCCTTCATCAACAACAAATGCAGGCCAGGGTGTTAGGTTCAAAAGGAGGGAGGAGCCTAGACAGCAGGGTGGGTTCACATAGGCAAAGTGAGGGAGCGAGAGACAAAAGTTTAGAGTGAGAGAGCGAATGAAATTTGACAAAAAAAAAAAAGAAAATTTGGGGCTTTTAAATCTGAATATCAATTCAATGTTTGAAACATCAAATCGAGACTAAAATGGTAAAACCAACAAAAGACTTTTTAATGGGATGGTGGGGGATGTAATGGAAAAGAGTTATGATGAAATCCAATGTTAGAAACATTAGATCGAGGCCAAATAAAAAAAAAAAAAGGATTATATCCTTCTTTATAATATGAACCTATTTTTTAGTTTAATGATGGATTTTTATTCCGCTTTGTATATAAATTCTTTTAACAAATATCAATATTATTTTAATGAAAAATGGCCTTGTGAAACCCTCCCACACTCATGTACGTAAAACTCAATAAAACACTATTAAATTGAACACACTCATTTGTGTAGAACTTGAAGGTCCATGGGTGTGAGAGGCTCTCGTATCCTCTATCTCATGATCAATCAAGTTAAACATCCAGATGGATAAATTTCAACCCTTGGATCTAGGGTTTTGATTTTCTAGTATCCCATCTTTTGCCGCACCAATAGTATATAAATGGACTCGGACCGTAACAGTTGCAGGGCTTTCATTGGAGCTTAGGGTTTTAGATAGAGAGAGAAAGAGTGAGAGGTTAAAGAGACGGCATTGGCAGTCCGCCTTGACAAAGGCCCCTTTGTCTTGGCCCTCTACTTATTCTAACAAATCTAAGGGTTTGTAGAATTTGTAGGCTTCTCCTTCTTCATTTCCTGTAAATCTTACGGTTTTCTTCAGTTTTGACTCTCCATTTTCGACCTCAAAGATAGATCTGTATCTATTGTCACTTTTGGTACTTTAGGGCTTTTTTTTTCGCTATTTTGAGATGGCTGTGAAGACTTCGAAGGCTGAGAAGAAGGTCGCTTATGATCAAAAGCTTTGTCAATTATTGGATCAGTACAGTCAGGTTTTGATTGTTGCTGCTGACAATGTGGGATCGAACCAGTTGCAAAATATTCGCAAGGGTCTTCGAGGTGATTCAGTGGTTTTAATGGGGAAGAACACAATGATGAAGAGGACCATCAGGCTTCATACTGAGAAGACAGGCAACAATGCTTTCCTGAACCTTATTCCTCTCCTTGTTGTAAGCGCTAAGTTTCAATCATCACTATTTGATTTTCATCCATTTTTTGTTTTTTAGGTGTTGTATTCTTCGTCCTGTTATGATCTCTAAGTTTTATGAGCTCCTGTTGCTTTATAATTGTTTTTTCTTCAATTTTTGCTTATTTTTATGGTTTCTGGTTTTTCTAACCAGGGAAACGTAGGCCTGATCTTCACTAAGGGTGATTTGAAGGAAGTCAGTGAAGAGGTTGCTAAATACAAGGTATAGCAATGAAGATCTTATTTTCATTATTTTTGTTTTTGTTTATCTCATTCCTGTTTAATGTGCAGAAAATGAAGTTCATGAGGTTTAATAGAATTTTTAGTGCTTCTTGTAAAATTTCCTCCAATCAATTCTTTTTAACTTCTAAAACTGAAATTCTTAGGTGTAAAATTTCCTCCAATCAATTTTTGTAAAGGCGTAAAAATGAAGTTCTTAGGTATGTTGACTGTAATGTTTTGAATTGGTTGGAAACTAAAAAATAGTAGTTTTGTCCAAAATTTAGGAGTTTTTAATGATATTATTGATATTTCGGAGCCTGGTTTGATATTTCAGTGATCAATTGATTAAATTTAATATAGGTAGTTTGAGTTCAAGATCTGTCTAATTTCAGATGAAATTGCTATGAATAATGAATGCTATGTGTCATGAAAGATGCTTGTTTTTCCTGTTTTGCTAAGGTCTGATACTACTAGATAAGTTTCATACTGCTCGATATTATAAATTTTCTTTCCCATATTTACTTGGACGTTGTGTGAATTTCATGTAGAATTCGAGTTGCGAGCTCTGAACCAACACTTCCACTCTTGGCCATTGCATATATGACATTTATTGGATATATGAGTATGTGAATGTTAATTATCTAAAATTTAGATGGAGACCCAAAGGCATATTTGAATGAAAGCAGTGATTAAGAAGTAGTTGAAGTGCCAATAAATCTGAGGAAAATGTTACTCGATGAACTCCCAATGACGAAAAACACTTTCAAATTTTTGCTGTAGTCTCAGAAATATGGTATTTGAAATACCAAAGGTCAGATGAAAATGTCATTCTAAAACCTACGAACAATAAAAGGTTAAAAAAATGACATTCATACTTTTCACATTAGTCCCATGCTGTGTGGTGATCATGTTAACCTCCCAGAAAGACCAGATAAGTGCCTAAATATTGGATGTTTAAATGATGATACAGACATTCATTTGAGGATATGATCATGTTTAGACCTCTATTATTCTTTCGGTATGGAGTAGTGCTGTTTGGCAATTTTGTGTCTTTGGCTTTGTTGTGGACTGGGTATTCTGTTTTATCTTACAAACAGTTGAAACTACATTTCTGTGTTCTTTTTTGAATTTGATTTTCAATATCTGTTTTGATTTATTGTTTTTTTTTTAATTTATTACAATTATTCATAAGTATCATGCATATCCTTGATACCTTGGTTCATAACAAGTGTTCAAAACAATGATTCAGCCTGGGTATTCAGCCAGTGCCCATGCCGATTACTCGGCCTGAGTTCTGGCCTAGCTAAAAAGTGTTTAAACAAATAAAAATACCAAAAATAGGAAAAATATATTTGAAGTGAAATTAAACAAAGAGCATCTAAATGAGGCTAAAAAAAGTAGTGAAATTTTTAATTTTGAAAAAATCAATTGGTATTTTAGAAATGATCCCAAAAGATGGGAAAATGTAAAAAGTATTCATAGCCAAAAAACTTTCCAATCTTTGCCAAAATGATATAAAACAAAAAAAAACATAATACAAATAAAGTCCTTATTTTTTGAATTTTTTTATATATATGTTTTGATGTTTTTAAGATCCCTGAGTGGGACATTCAACTTGGGGATGCTCGGGTTCGTCAGGTTGGCAAACCCAAGTACTTGGAAGTCCACCCGAGTAGGCGAACACTGCATAACATGGAAGATAATTGATTGAAAATGCAAGAAAATGTTTGTGGTAGATATGTGGTTTTGTTTAACAATGTATATTACTATGTATTTTAATTGGTAGCATTAATATGACATGTTAGTAATGTGAATTTTTTCCTCTTATTCTAATGAATGGATTTGTTGAAATGGATTTCCTATTAGGTTCAATTGATTGTGTTTGAACTTGAGGATATTGATTATTGACAATAAGTCAGGGCTATTGATTTTAACCCTAAGTTTGAATCTTTATTTTTGGCCATGATCACTTGACCATATATATGATGATTTATGAGCAAAATGATCCATTGGATGTTCTTCAGTAGTCAAATAACGGCTTCACAAGATTATTATCTGATTGTGTTATGAGGTCCTTATGAATAGGTTAACCCCAGGGGGTGTGAAAGTAGAATGTTTTGGTAGTTTTAGACCTCATTCACAACTACCAATTGTTCTATGGACTCCAAGCCTGTTAATTTAATATCATTTTTATTGATGATGCATCATTTCTTGGTTCTACATTAATTTGTTGTAAATCCTCTATGTGATCAGGTTGGGGCCCCTGCTCGTGTTGGATTGGTTGCGCCTATCGATGTTGTTGTTCCACCTGGCAACACAGGATTGGATCCCTCTCAAACTTCTTTCTTCCAGGTACTTGGACAAATCTTTTCCCTATTACTTTTATATTATGTAAATTATAATTCCATGGGAATCATTACTCCCCAAGGAAATAATGAATTGTGATGGATAGGGTTGCTTTCAGTCTCAGTCCATCACCCATTGACCATTACATTTGATGGTCTTGACCCCGGTGGACTCGATCCATGGTTCATTAGAGTTGATCACACCGACTTTTATTCCTTATTATATTTGTGTACTTTCCTTTCTTCCTCATCATGTTCATGCATACTTTCCCTTGTCACATTATCCTATGATATGAAAACTCATAATCCATTTGGGGTCATGTAGCCCCATGAAACAATGGATGGTGAGGCTGGTGGTCTGACTATCTGTCCATGGCCAATTGTTAATTTCACAGGGATGGTTATGACACAAAGTTACCATGTTTAATGGTTTCATTGAACTATATATAACATACTTCTTTTTGTCGCTCATCGTATATATGCTTACTTTCCCTTCTCGCCTGTCACATATAGTGTTTAAAATTCTGAGTATGTCTTGGACTCAAGCAATTCTATATCGTGCTGAATCTGAGTGAAAAACCTTTGGATCTAACCTGTCTAACTGGATCTCAAGTTCTTGTTAAAACTTTTTAAGGCTTGGATAAGTCAACCCTCCTGAAATAGGCTGGGGGCCCCAGCGAGTCCCTTTATCAGCCCAAGGTTTAAAATGCTGATTGTATTTATGCGATGTATTGAAAAATGCCACTTTCTCATTATATATTTTTGCGATGTAATTGAAAAATGCTATTTTCTCGTATCAGGTTCTCAACATTCCCACAAAAATTAACAAGGGAACTGTTGAAATCATCACCCCTGTCGAGCTCATCAAGAAGGGGGAGAAGGTGGGTTCCTCTGAGGCTGCCTTGCTCGCGAAGCTTGGTATCAGGCCCTTCTCGTATGGGCTTGTGGTCCTCTCTGTCTATGACAATGGCTCAGTCTTTAGCCCTGAGGTTCTTGACCTGACGGAGGAAGATCTTATCGAGAAGTTTGACATTGGTGTTTCCATGGTGACTGCATTGTCCCTGTCCATCTCTTACCCTACTTTGGCAGCTGCACCTCATATGTTCATCAATGGCTACAAGAATGCCTTGGCAATTGCTGTTGCCACTGATTATACCTTCGCACAGGCTGAGCAAGTGAAGGAGTACCTCAAGGTATAAGGGATATTAACTTGGTCTTCCTTTATTTTATTTCGTCGCTTGTGCTCTCGCTAATGTATTTGATGATTGATATGATGCAGGATCCAACCAAGTTTGCAGTTGCAGCCGCCCCCGTCGCTTCTGAGGCTGCTGCTTCAGCACCTGCCGGTGGAGCTGCCCCAGTGGAAGAGAAGAAGGAAGAACCTGCTGAGGAATCTGATGATGATATGGGCTTCAGTCTTTTCGACTGAGCGAATACACATCACTGACTCTCATATTGCAAATGGGTTTTTTTATGAGGTTTAGAATTTGCCTTGGACTGTTATTATGCATCTTGGCCTTCGAGTTTCACTGCCGTTTTGGAGTTATTGAGATATTAGAGGATGAGGACACTTAGCTATATTTTTTGGCATTTGATTTCTTTTGGTTCAGTTTGGTTTCTAAATACTTTTAGTTGCCAAGGAAATTATAGGAACTCAAGTAGAATCTTTTTATCATGAGCATGGATTCAATTTTGAGACTCAAAAATAATGGTTGCGACTCTCACTCTCCTCGCCATGATTTGAGCATGCTGAGACTCGAAAAGAATGGTTTGACTCTCCCTCTCATATGTAGAAAGGCAGATTCTCTCTCGAGTCCTTTTGGAGATCTCAATACTCTTTATTCTTAATCCCTCTACGTAGGTAGTGCTGTTAGTTTTGGGGGAAATAGTGGAGAACTTAGAACGGCGTCAACCATTCGAAAAAGGACCCTCTCTTATTCTCTTGATCGAGCTTTTCTCTGTTATGGGGAGGGTTACTCCGAGGCTGATGCCTTGGCGCAAGAGGGGTTCACCAACCATCGTAGGTGATTACAGCTTGCTTGTAACTGTAATTTATTTATTTTTTTATACTTTTGTCTTGCAACCTTAAACAATCCAATTAAGGCGCATTTTCAAATTTTATCGTAATATATAATTTTGTTGTTAAAAATTTTTAGGATTATCTATAAATTTATTTTCATATCTATTTAAAAAATGGTTAAAATCAAGTAGATCTATGAACATGTGAAAAATTGGATGGTGTATATAATATATATAAAAAAATTTATGTAGAGTTGAGGCTCTAATTAATCATCTCAGTGATCGTGTGATGACGAGGGAAGACAAAATCAGTTCATTTTCGCATTTAAGCGTTGGAAAGTATTTTTTTTATATATATATATATATATAAGCAATGATTTTATACAATTGTTGTATAGTAATATGATGTAACAACTTTAAAAAACCATTTTATGGATATTTGTTTGATCCAAATTTTAAAATATATATTTTTTTCATTTTAATGAACAATCGTAAAAAAAGAAACATTTGAAAATACAATTTAAAAAATATTTTTTTAGCCCAATTAATATAGGCCATTCATTTTGGTGAGATGCTTAGATCTATACCTTATAAAGGATTTTTTTATTTCCAATTTTTTTCGATGGGTTTATTATCATTAGATGAACAATATTAAAAGAAAAAATGATTGAGTTTATAAAGGCTAATATCTTGAAATTCACTAGATGAATGGTCTAGATTTATT